CCAAATCACAACAACAGTTACCTCAAGGCACTTTTTATATTGTAAGGTGGGGCAAAGACCCTTCAATAATGCTGAGAAACAGTTTTAAGATAGATTCTAACGTAGTACAATAGAATACAATTTTATTTATATAGCACATTTAAAAACCCGAAGGCACACCAAAGTGCTTCACAGTAATATGGAGAGTCAACATAAGTCGATAACAGGGTACAAATCGGGCACTTGCACAGACAGGATAGAGGCACTAACAGACCAGGAGAGTTACATAAATACAAAATATGCTAAGAAGACAAAAACAGCAGTAAAATTAATAAAAAATAATAAATTTAATAAAATCTCATAAAAGATTTAAAAGTTTAAAATTTAAAAGATTTAAAAGGGTATTAACTGGTCAGGAAGGCCAAGTCAAATAGATATGCTTTTAATCTTGATTTAAAGGACTGCAACAAGCTGGTCTCGAGGAATATGGCTGTCGAACACCATGACTTCAGTTTTTTTTCTCATTTAAAACGAGAGAATTTTCTGACAGCCAATCTTTAACTTCTCTCAGGCAATCGTACAGGGAGTTCAATGATGCTGACAAATCATCAGTCAGTTGACAATAGATTTGAGTCATCAGCGTAAAAGTGATAAGAAATATTGTATTTTTCAAATATGGAGCCCACGGGTAGCATATACAAAGAGAATAATAAAGGGCCCAATAGCAGCTATTGTTGTGTGTTAAACTGAGTTTCACTCTACTCCACTTTATAGGATTATAGCACCATATTTACTTGGTATTTATCAAAACTCTGAAGAACTAAACTCATGTAATTTGATCAATAATGGAATTTTAAAATTACTCTCAAATATGCTGTTAAACTGCAACACCTGTACACTTATTGCTTTCATTTGTATTCCTTTGTGTGTCTGTGTGCGCGTTTCACAGGGCCATGTAGATGAGATGTGGGGACTGGCTACTCACCCCTCCCAGAACATCTTCCTCACCTGTGGCCACGACAGGCAGGTGTGTTTGTGGAACACCGAGGA